AAAAATTATTTTGTATTTATTCGTAATTTTTTGTCTTCTATCTTCTCTACAAAATCGCCATTGATTTCACTTCTGAAAACAGTCTTGAAAAACTCGTTTTTAAGCTTACCAAGTTCAGCATTAACTGCATCAAATCTCCTAGTTGCTATTAAAAACCTTTAAATTTGTTTTTTTCTTTTAATTGTTGGAAATAACCAGAAGTTTCAATGAGCTATGTCCGAGAATTATGGTACTGGACGTATTTCTTCGATCACATAGATCCCAATAAAATTACTCGTTTTTCCAGCAGTGTGGGATATCGCATTTTCATGACGTAAAAAGTAGTGCCACAAATCCTCTTTTCCTATTTTCCAACAAATTTTTGAAAACTTTTGGTAAGCACTCTTAGGTGCACAATTTTGCAGTTACCGTCTGACCCTTTCCCAGTGGAAAACTCACATCATTACTTTTGCTGCTCATTTTTGTTGCTTAGAATTCACAGGTGGGTTTGTCACTCTTGGGCTCCATACCATGGACTGCTGTTTGGTTTGGAGCTTACAAAAGTTACTAGATTTACCATTTGCTTAGGAGAAATTGAGCAACATGCGCTCGAGCCTCTTTTTGGACCTCATTTAAAGTTCATGGTACACATCGAGAAGATTTTTTCGTGCATCCGGTGATTACTAAATATTCCCGATACAGCCATGGCATGGCATTCAAGCCCAATTCATTAGCAATCATTTGTTGTATCAATTGTGAGTCCTCGTCAATTTTGGAATTCACCAGTGATGCAGGGACGTGATCAGTGGAAGATTTTGGTCTACCTTCTCGGGGCTAGTCCGGCCTGGAATCTTCGAAGCCACTTTGAAATAATCTTTAAAGATGGTGCAATCGTTTCATATGCTATTTGAAATTCACTGAATATTTTTATTGGACGTAAGTTACGCCGAAACCCGAAGAGAATAGAAGGTGGATTTCTGTTTGCGTAGGTGGTAGAATTTCGTCTGGCCTATCTTCAGTTATTTTGCGTTTTCTCGTCTCCATTTTAGCCGATCGTTCTAAGATTTTAGGGGAAGACTAATAAAGTAATTATAAAGAATTTGGTATTTTTAGAATTAACAAATACAAATTGAAAGTCACCAACAGACCAAATTTTTGTTAATCCCATCGTATGTATTTAATTTTTTTCTAATTAAAAAAAAAACTTTCTCTCACTTCGGTGAGTGCATAAAGATCTTCGTGTGCCTAAGCCAGTTTGAAAGAATGTATACTGTATTGGACACAAGGCTCGAATGAAGAACCGATTGGCCTTTACACCGACGACAGTGCAGTTTAGTTTAGAATACATTTCATAACTTCATATACAAAAATCTTACTCAACAGACTAGACTGCGCAGCATGCTAGAAACCAAACTCTTTAGGAGGAGGAGCTCTATGGGGCTTTGACCAGGCCACTCTGGAACTACTTTTATTTCCTGCTAAAGGTTGTCTTCTTTTGTATTTTTCAGTCCAGCTTACTCACCCTCTGTAAAAAGCTCAATGCTACATTATAGTATTTCATACATAATTTTTTGTTGCCTGTGAAACGGTTTTGCCCATGACAAGTGTTTCCTTGAGAGAGTCACAAAGACGTTAACTTCAAAGTGGCAAAAAGTTATTGAGCGCAACCGTGCATAGTTGCCGTAAAGTAAATTGGACACTAACCGCTCAACTGATAATCAGCCGATTCGGTCGTCATATTAGCGGTATACGTGTTAATGTTTACCAAAAAATTTTAAGTCGCCTTAGAATGGACAACGGATTTTTATGATGAGGGCTTTTGCGGCCGCCCACTAAATCTTATACTTTAACGTAATCAGAGATATAACAAAAATTATCGAAATTCGAAATCGAAATCGGTTTGAAACTGATAAGATTCTATTTTTTTTTCGCAATTTTTTTGAAAGTTTTTGCTTTAACGGTAAGTCGATCGCTCGAACTCCCATTTATTTTTGAATGAAAAACTGCTTTGCCATGCGATTAATGCGCGTCGGGTATTTATAATGTTGGTATACAAAATTATTTCCAAAACCCATTCTTCGCGCTGAAGACTCTAAATTTGTTCCATCCGTCACTTTGGGTATCTTTATAGCAAAAATAACTATTTTGCACACATTCACGTCTCCGAATTATTTACACCTTAAAGGGTATCGGACTTTCATATTTTACTTGCTGATGAAGGGGTTCGTGATTTTGTAATAACTAAAAAGGCCTCTCCTCTTGTGTCACTCGCTTTTATTACAATAAAAAGTTAATTTACTCGAAAATATTGCCTGAATTTCAGTTTACATTTTTTTTAAAGAGAAAAGACTAAGGTCAATCCACCTCCTCAATTTCTTTCTATTTGTGAAATTACAGCAGAAAATCACAAAAATAATAAATAAAAATTACAAGTGCTTATGCAGATCCATCAAAATTCCGATCGAGTCAGAATGACCAGCTGATTTGATTTGTAGGTCTGTTTGAACAGGGAAGTCGGTCTGTTTGAAAAGACTGGGGTTACTCCCATTGCACCATCGTTTTGCTCGTCCTACGAAAAATATCGCTACTGGAAGTGGCTGTCACTGTCAATACGGAGTGTCATGGTCGTATTTTAACAGACTTGGTTAGTGGTCTGCAATGGAAGAAGAGAGAGTATTTCCCTGTCGAGTAATCTCTCGTCTTAACGATGTCAATTGGCCAACGGGATCGTGCGTTGGACTGTTTTTTTTTTTTTTTTTTTTTTTTTTTTTTTTTTTTGATTTGATTTTTTTTTTTTTTTTTTGTGGGGCTACGGGAAAGATGGTATTTATACGGATAAACCTTTAACTCTTAAGCACTTGAAAACCACCATTCGTCATCTTATTCATTTGAATCATGTAGTGCCAAGGTACAAACTTTATAATAAAAAAGAGGAATTTAATGTAAATAATTTTGTATATTGAAGTAAAAACTTGTACCAAAAAATCATCGAAGACCGAAGACTATTATTTAGCCCCCATACCACCAATTCATTCAGATATGAGATTTCGGGTGAAAACTACATTAAAAGAGCATCTAAAAGTGCAAAGTTTTACCTGATCTGAAAATCATCGAAATCGCATTTTTTATTCAATTCTCAAACAATTTGATATTTCCCTTAAAGGTATAAGGACTTCGACATGACAGACTTTCTTGGTTTTTAAAATATAGGCCCAGGAACCGCTGAAGCGATTTTCGGATGAGCTCCTCCTCTACGGGAGGAGACTGACGGACTTATACGAGCGCTTTTATTTCATGTCAAAAATGCACTCGAAGGGCTTGATATGCTCTGCCAAGGGGCGACCGCATTTATAAAAATTTTAGTTTCTGACCAAAACCCGAATTCCGGCCGAGTGTCACTACGCCATGCTAAACTCTCGGCTATTGCGACCGCCGACTAAATCTGATATTTTAACGAAAAATAACGGATAGCGTTGCTCATGAAATCTGTTCTAATGTAGTTTGCTGCCTTCATAACGATTGAAATCTTAGCCTGAAATACACGGCAATGATCCGATAGCCTGAAAGGGAGTTCAAAAGGCACTTCAGCTTCTTGTCCAGAACTTTTGCCTTGATTCTGAGGCTAGAGTTATCACCATTAAAAGTTGGTGGGTTCATCTCTCTCTATCTATCTCTTTAAAAGGGAAATTATAATTCAAAATTATATAACACTAAAATATGTTCTGAATACAAGTAAATGAAATTTTATTTACTTTGGGATAAGCTCCTGGATATAAATAAACCTAATTGCTTAAGGAGTGTAATTTAAGAAAGATTATATATATGATAAATGTATATAAAAACGAGGTGTCGAATGAGATTGCGATAAGAAACTCCAAATAAAACAAGAACGACAGACAAAACTGCTCTCTTTGTAGATACATTCGTTACCCCGAAGTAATTAACGACATCGTAAACGCAACGCTTTACTGAAAGTATCTTAAAAGTATAAAAGCTTAAAAGAGCACAGTGAAGAGCGAGCACATGGCTTAAGTAAAGTAACTGGCGTGATCAGGCCACACGACTCCCTCTTTGAAACAAGCAAAAGAGACATTGGACTCTTCGGCTGCATTTTTTTTTTGTATGACATCTCAGCACAGCGAAGAGTCTACTACTATGTAGCAAAACAATTGACTGCTGATAAGGAATGACGCTCCCAGCCGAATGAAAGTGCATATTTTTGTCTCTCATAGAATGCTTATCATATTAAATTTATACTCGAAAGTTTAGGCACGAAACAAGTATGAGCTGATAAGAACAGAAAAAGTGTATATTAATATATGTACGATATGTATGTATGTATTCATGTGAAACAAGTCTCTATAAATTCTATGAAAAACAACAAAAAATCAAAACAGAAAATTTCTATCACGAAGAGTAATATACCGAAGAGCCGAGTCATTGTCTCGGCAAAAAAGTAGAGTCTTTAAATCATTGTGTGAAAACGTTGTCTCCAACGCGCACGCAGCAAGAAAATATTAAATCTTTTCTAGATTATACGACATTGTTTTACAATTAACTTGATTGAATAAGTGCGCAACTAAATAATTTGTACTCAAAAAGCTTGAGCGGTAAAAGTTAACAAATCGAAAAGTGAATTTAGTTTTAGGCATTGGAAAAATGAGAACATACATAAATAAAGTGGGTTTATTTAATTAATATTTTAATGAAATTTATTTATACTCTTATATGTAAATGTGGACATATATTTATAAGTTATTTTAATTTTTTGTAAACAACTCGACTCAGTATTCCGTTCTTAGCGTAATTTTTAGCCGCTAAGCGCACATCGTCTTCCCTAATTGATCGATATTGAATATGCCGATTTTATATATATTCCTGTATAAATGTATATTGTATAGTATACATTTATACATACTTTTCGGCAGTGTTATGTTTTATGTTTTTATTTTTGTTTTTGTCACCACGAAGTGAATGTTCTCACAACATCGCCTCACATTCACTAAAACATTTTATTACAGGAGAGTGAAATTATCGATGTGCTCTGGAAGCAAGATGTTGATTTGGGTTACTCACTGACACCGGCACATCTGATAAATACAACTGGTAATAACGGTAGTGCCGGCGCTGTGTCGACGGATGATGAGATTGAGAAGTTGAAGGCATTGGAAGCGCTTAAATTAGATAAGGTAAGGTAAGGCAGAATCAAGGAATGAAACTCTTCAAATTGTGAGAGCACTCAAAATCCACTCATTTTTCATAGCATTTCAGAGCAGTGTCATTGCCATAAAATATATATATATATTTGTAGCGCTTGGGATTTTCGGAGTATTTTTAGGTATTTAATTCCCAACAAGCAATATTCGAGAGCTCTTTAATTGAAATTTTTGCTCCAATACTTTGTTGAAAAACCGTCGAATTATTTTTTATTATTACTCTTGAAATAAGTTCTGCAATATTACATGCTAATCAAAATTTCTCTTGAAATCCAAAGAGTGGTTTTTTCTATTTTGAGAGTGGTGCGGGTGCCTTTTGTACACCATCAGCTTTTGAATATTCCTCGCCAATAAATCAACATGAGATTTAGATGAAGGAGCCACTCTCTGCTGCATTATGAGAGCATTTGAAAAGATTCGTATCAATTGAGCTTTTGTAGAGCAGCATTTGGTTTTATCACTACTAAAGCTTTCACCAAATAAAAATGGAAAACGTCTTCAAAGAAAAAAGTAAAAACAAAAGGGGTTAAGTTTCAGACAGAGCTCGGGTGGGCATATTTTGGGCAAATAAATAATTTGCTGATGGAGATAAACAAATTAATTATTTCACAACTCTGTGAAATTCTGCAATTTTTTTCAATGAAGAAGGTAAGCGTAGGATCGCTTACAGTACATTTTTTTTGTAAACGTGGATAAATGAAGGTTTAGTTATCTCATATAAGCCCAGCTTTAAAGCTTGGTAGATGTTACAACAATTCGTATTCCAGATGCTTTTACTAAAGCTTTAAGTTTTTATAATACTCGTCTTTTTTATAGTACTCGTCTTCTATAAATATAAGTAATTTTTTGAAGTTTTTTTCATTTTTATTTGGAATAATTTGAATTTTATTTGAAAATTTCTTAAGATTTTTTTAAATTATAACTTCTATTGTTAATTAATAATGTTGAGCTTATTTTTGGAAGTTTTAATAATGCTGTATATTATAGTACTCGTCTTTATTTAACATTGCATTTAAAGCTTTAAGCTTATGTATATTTATATATTTATTTGTAAGATCTTCATTTGCAAATGTGTTTTCGCGAAGTGAGTTTATCATTTTAGTTTTATGTATGTCCACTCCTGTATTGGACAGTTTTTTTATAATTGCTTTATTTTTCAAAAAATATAATTTTCACTCATACAACTTCAAAAATATGTTCAAGCTTTTTTAATTCTTATTAAATTTGTAGATTTCAACACTAACTCCTCCATAAGCAGCAGCTAAGCTTTTTAAGTTATATCTTCATTTGTTCTTAGTTTTCAAAGCTAAACGCTTTTCGGCATTTAAAGCTCTAAATGCAATTTATAAATATTCTACAAGTCGTTTGAATTTTTTTGATCTGTAAATTTTAAATAGTTTTGCCGAAATATATTAAAAGCTTTATATTAAGGTTTCGTAATTCATTTTGTATCGCAATTTTGTAACAAATTTGCTGTTATCAATATATTGAAAGCTTCTTTTAAGCTTTTCAGTTACAAGGAATACATTTATTAACTTTTTGTCATAAATTATTATTTTCTACTTTCTATTTTGTATTCAGACATATAAAAATTTTTCTCGCCAAAGCTCAGAAAACTCAGCTTCCGAAAACATGTTTTCCTCTTTTTTTGTTAAAATCCTACGTTGTGTTTTATTATTATTATATACTTAAAAAAAATTTGAGTTCGCGAAAATATTTTCTTCGAAAGCTACACAAAAAGCTCGCAGTAAAAAAAATAGGTATAGTAGGAAAAAAATGTTATTAAAGAGGGATGGTCTCCTTTTGCCACTCATTTAAAAATAAACTTCTTTATACAAAGTTTATATAGCCACAATGAAAGTTTCCCAAAAGCTTGCGCAGAGGGAGAAAGCGTTCCGAAACTCATTCAAAATATTAAATATTTCCAACTTATTACTATAAAGAGAGATCCTGGCGCCACTGAAAGCAAATATTAAATGAAAAAATACAACCAATCCAAAAGCTCGAACTGAGGGCTGAGATTAAGTTTTGTTTTTTTGCACACTCAGATCATTTGCAACTCTCTTAATTTCACTAATATTTTTTTTGTTTTCAAGCATTAAGTTAGACTCGAAATCTAAAGCTCAACCCAAACAAACAAAATCTAGCGCTGAGCGAGATCTAAAAATTAAATGTGCTCAACTTAAAATGATAATAGATCGAGGCGAAAAGAAAAGCCAATTATTAAAACATAGTGTTATTGAAAAATTATATTCAGACTGAGCGTGAAATTTGAAAAGATTAGTTGAAAAAATTTAAATGCTAAAACAATAAATTATAAATTTACATACATACATATATAACACATAGTATTTAAAGTGAGTGTTGTGACAGATACTAGTAAAGATGTGTTGGTTCGAGCCAATTTTGAAGGGATTTGTGAAGAAATCACGCAATCTCATAAATACAACGAAGTCAAAATATTTTACCTATACGAAAAAAGGGCGTATCTATGTTTTTAAGCGCAAGGTGAAAGAGTAGGCACTTAAAGAGTAGCCTATAAAAATAAAAAAAATTAAACAAATTAAAAAGAAAAAAATGTTGGCGGACCAACAGCAAACTCGTGACATTTTTAATTTTTCTTCTACATTTTTCTTCTTCTTTCTTTCATATTCCTTTTATTGCATTTTCAATTGTATAATAATAAATTGGTTATATTCCTATAGCCGAACTTTGATGGAAAAGATGGCGGTGACGATGCTGGTGTGCCGGATATCGATGATGAGTGGGCTGGCATACCTTTTACGGTGGATAACGAGACAGGTAAGTGGCAAAAAGAAAATTTACAAATTCTTTTAAGTGTAGAAAAAATGTCGAGCCACAGTCCGCCAAGTGTTTTGGATAAATTAAAATTAGAAGCAATGTTTTAAGCTTTAAGCTTAGCTCTTCGAAAGCAATTATTCTTATCGATCCGCTTAGAAATCTATCCAAAACGTACAAGTATGAAAGCTACGCATACATACAAAGGTTAAGTATTTTCAGTGAAAAACATTATGCGCAATTAAGTATTGAAAATTTTCCAATAACACACATGCTTTTGAAAAAAAAAAACAAATAAATAAGAAATCTGTGCTCAGACCTATGGTATTAAATTATTAAAAAAAAGGAACAATTGTGCAAAATTAATATTATTTTTATTAAAAATTCATAAAAAAAAATTATTAAAAATTCATAAAAAATTATATATTTTTTTATTAAATATTCATAAAAAATTTTATTTTTTTTTAAATTATTAGAATTAAATAAAAAAGTAAAAAATATACAAAATTAATAAAAATAAAATATTTTCTTATTAAAAAATCATAAATAAAAAGTTAGTTTATAAAACTCTATTTTTTTATTAAATATTCATAAAAAATTATATTTTTTTTAATAAAAATTCATAAAAAACTCAATTTTTTTTTTATTAAATATTCATAAAAAATTATATTTTTTTTATTAAAAATTCATACAATTTTTTTATACATATATATATAAATATTAAGGTATACACATTGAACATAAATACAAACTAAACATTTTAAACAGTTTTAGGAGTTTTTACAAAATTTTTTTGTTGTGAGTTAGTTCTCTTACATAGTTATTAACTATTTGTACATATGTATGTATTTTAAATGCTACGTTCCCGATAAGAACTTTTACTTTGCAAATTAGACGTCAATGAGTACATTTCAATAACAAAAGATATGTGAAGCCTTGTTAATTGAAAATATTTAAAAAAAAAAATATTTAGTCTCAAAAATGTTACGTGATTTTAGTGTTTGCAAAATTAAAAATCTGCTAATCGTCGTAGGGATTTAAAAATATCGATTCTCAATATATTTTTTATATTGCTTATTGGATGTATTTTTTTTTATTTGGTGCAAGAAAATTAAACGAATTTTTTTATTTGCCACATTTTAGTATTAAATAATAGCAATTTTAATGCGTACAAACTAAAAATAATTGTAATAATCGGAAGTGATTTTATCGATTAAAAATATTTATACTATATGTGTGCTTTTTTATATTGACTAAAATTTATTTATTGATTTATCGAAATGATAAATCGTGTATAAAGTGTCCATATATTTTATATTTGAACACTGATTGTCAGTTGAAAATTATTTTAATATCTTTTTTCTTTAGAAATAATTTATGAATTGAAAAATATCGATTCTCACTATATTTGCTGTTTTTTTTTTTATTTGGCGATTAAAAACTTGGCGAAAACTTGATAATTTTAATTTTTTATAAAATATTATACATACAGCTTTACAGCTTACAAAACAGGCATGATTAGATAATCGGGAGTGATTTTACCGATTAAAAATATTTATACTATATTTATATATATTCTTTTTTGTATTGGTTAAAATTTATTAATATTAATTTATTTATAATTTTCGATTTATCGATAATTATTTTCAAACTTATGAAAAATATCGAAAAATCTAAAGTGTCTATAATATGTTTGAACATTGATTGTGGGTTGAAAATTATTTTAATAAGTTCTCTTTTTAGGAATATACTGAGAATTTGAAAATATCGATTATCATTTTATATAATATATGCTGGTATTGATTTAATTGGCGATAAAAAATTTAGCGAAAAATTAATAGTTTTAATTTTTAAAAAACATCGGTTGAAAATTATTTAATAGGTATTCTTTCCAGCAGCATTTCTATATTCGGTAAAAGAGGGATAAGGGAGAAAATAAAGAAATTAAATTATTTTTTACTTTTCAATATATTTATTCACGTGTAAGAAGGTTACATTTTTCAGATCCTTCTATTAATTTATTTATACACTAATAAAACACTGAAATTTATCTCTTTCTTCAAAATACGCCGAAAATGTCTTCTTGACTTAATCATCGGTGATAAACTCCTTCCTTACGTCAATTTTTCCTTTTTTCTCTTTTCTGGCTTCTCTTAGTCGCTTTAATATTGAAGCCTAGCATTCTCCAGTTATATTGTAGAAAACATCTTTATCTTTATAATCCTTCAGTAATATTCCCTTCGAGCACCAAAAGACCTTTGGGCGTTGTTGTGAGCTTTTTATTTCACCACGCGGAGGCTTGATTCTACTCAGGTTCAAAATGATAAACCCCATTTTCGTCTGCAGTAACAATTTCTCTTCATTACAGAGGTCCGAAAATGTATATACTGTTGTTTTTTTGTGGAGGCAGGGTTTTAAAAATGGTTGCATTGGATACTCAAAACAATTCTGCGCGTTGTTTCTTCTTTAGTCGAGCATCTTTGAGGGCGATTTTTTCAACTTTTTGTATAATTTCGGCTGATGTCACTTCGTTACTTCTGCTCGGCCTTCGATCGCCTTCAGAGTGTTACCTCACTTGTTTAAGTAAATTATAATAATTTGTGCTACTTATAGATCATGATTTTACCCGGACGGGGGCCCTTGTAAACCAATGGCATCTCATTAATTATGGTGTCAAATGGTTTTCCATGCTTAGTAGGGAAGTTTATTATGTTAATTTCTTTTTGGAAATTTTTTGAAGAGCTCTTACCATATTTAGATACCCATACAAGGCGTTTCAAAGTCTGGTATATGTTGATTAAGTTACATCCATTCCTAACTCTCGTTTTTACGTTCATCTTTCCTCTAGCAAGTGGTTAGCATTGCGTGCTTCCATGGGTTCGAATCTTGGCTAGTTCAACATACAAAAAATATAGAAAATTAATTTAATTTAATAAAAAAACAAAATGATATTTCAAATTACGGTCACCCCAAAGCTCAGTGGCAATAATATGTATGTATGCACATATATATGTATATAAGTCCTTCAATCAATTTTTCTTCTTGAAAAATTACAACGTAATAGACTTTTATTATATAAATTTTTATGAGAAGGCTAACAAATTGCCTTGCACTCGCATGCGCATTACTGTAGTGATTATTACGGGAACTTCCATTTTTAATGCTTTTTCGGGGATACTTAATTTGGAAAAGTTTTATTTTAGACGGTTACATTTCGTAGTTTTTTTTTTTTTTTTTTTTTTTTTTTTTTTTTTTTTTTTTTTTTTTTTGAAATTTCTTGTGAGCATACCAAAGACTAAGAAGGTAGGACATATAAAGTAGTAAAATCAAAAATATCATTGTTCTATTAGCTTGTCATTCTAATTAAATAATTTTGTTGAAAAATAAAAAAGGTGTACTTCGAAAAAAGTAAAAAAAATTTCTTGCGGTAGAATTCAGGCAGTAAAATGAAGAGTTAACATTAAAAAAGATTCTAGCTCCTGCAAAAGCTATTGATGCATAGTCTACCGTATCAAATCGGTTTGATATAAATTTTTTATTATGCGGGCCGACTTTTAGATCGAGATAAAGCCGTTTAAAGTTGCCACAACTTTGCAACAACCTCACGCTCACGTATAAGTGCTATAACTTCTTCGGTATTTTCAATTACGTTCTAAAAAAATAAGAAAAAGTCTTTTTTCCCTAACCAAGGTACCACACTACTATTTTAATTTCTTCAATTCTACTGTTCATATGCTTCAATGTAAAGAAATCGCAGGTAGTAGCAAGTGAAATCTAAATATTTTAATTGTTTATTCGAATTTTAACCTACAGATTATTTATAAAATATAAAATACATTTATTAACACGAAAATTTTTATTTTTTATTTTGAAATTTTAGCTTTTGCAGTTTTTATATTAATTTCTTATTTGGTTTTTCTTCGTATACAAAATTTAATAACAATTTAAATTTATATTAAAAATAGTTTGACTTTAATTTTTAATAAAATAATTTTGTGTTTTTTTTTTTACATAAACCCCCTACACAATGCTAAAGTTAATATAAAATTGTCTGATTAAAGAAATGTAATACAGACATAATCAGTTAAAAACTCCTACATAATTAATTCGTATACTAAACTCAAAGAAAATAAAAATATATATCATACATATATATATAAGTAAAAATCGACTTAATGTCAAATTGCGAAAATAAATTATTTGAACGACATATTAGTCACACCTTTTCAAGTGTTGCGCCACGCTCTCAGCCACCCACCCACCCGTGTGCCATAGATAATAGAGCTTTTTCTTACATTTTTCCAGATAAGTAACACCGATAACAAACTCATGCAAATATTTGCTTCCCCAAATTGTTATTATTCAAAGCACTGTTAGTTAGATACAATACATAAGCGTGTTCCGAACGGATTAATGAAAGCTTTACTTGAAAAGTCAAGCGATTTTTTTTCGATTAAATAAAATATAAACACATACATACGAATACATACAAACAATCGCTTAAAATTTTTATTATTAAAAAATTAGTTGTTGTACCCACATATATATGTACATAATTATATACATAAATGTATATTTGTCAATTAACTTCCGATTTTCGCATTATTTATTACAAAAAATGTTTGGCCTCAAACGCTCCAAGTTGCGGCGTGTGAAACCTCTTAAATTTGTTAGTAATTTTATTGCAAAAATACTAGCTACATATTCACATACATACAGATTTACATACAAATGGATTATTTGTTGCTTAAAATATATGTACAAATTTTTTTGCCTTCAAACAGCTTCCGATAAGACAACCTTAGCTGTGGAGTAGAACTGATAAGCATTGACCGCCTTCATCTGGCGTATTCTCTTCTGTTTCGTTTGCTCTGTGCATTAGGGTGCGCGAGACTCTGCTAATTTAGTTCTTGATTTTCATACATTTTTTTTTATAATAAATGTTTATTTATTTTTATTCTCCTCTCTCTACTACTCTTTGAATGGAGAAAAATTCCAACTTG